ATATGTCTCTGCAGAGTACTCATCATTTTCAGATAGATCACAGACTGGGAGCATTAAGAACTTATCTTTGTGATCTAACATTTTTTGTCGAGAACATCCCAGCAAAACAAGACCTTCTAGCTTTTGTGCCTTAGCAACAAGAGGATAAACACCTAGCCAGTCATTGACAAGTTTGCCCACCCTATTTGAGACATCAGCACTAGTCGTTGTTCGTTTAAGTAGTTGGGGAATTGACTGAAGTATGTTGAATTGGCGTGCAATTTGAGATGGGATATAATTTGTTCCATGACACAACCTCTTCAGTTTCTGGTTGTGACCCTCAAATGAAAATGCAGATGTACACCAAAGAGGTCCATACATCTTGACAGAGAAAGGCAAATGTGTAAGCTGATGGACATTGAAGGACATTTGGCACAAGCCATATGTCGTTGGTATCTCCTGCACAAACTTTGTGATCTTGGATGTTGCTGCTGCCAAGTCATTTTCTGTGACAGTGTCTTTCAGAAAGCAAAAAATGGCAGTGACCAGAAGGAGCCAATGTTTCAAAAATTTTGTTGGAAGAATCTTGTACAGAACAGGACCACTGTAGAATAATAGCCAGCTTCTGCATTCTGCAGCCTTCCACCTTTGCGCAACTTTCACAGTCCGTGGTATTCTTGGTATATCAGATGGAGGTTTGATGGTAAGCAGTCTTTGATCAACAAGCTTATGTGATGTCCCAATGTACCAAGGGCTGTCATGGTACTTGCTATTGAACCACAAGTCCAAGAATTGCTTTGTCACTCCCAAGAGAACACAGTGCATGTAGTCAATTGGAAAGCTGTTCACAATGTCAAAACCAGTGGAGGGATTCAGGAGGACTAATGGTGATACTGTCTTCACCCCAAACACATGGTCAACATCATTCTCAATGGCCCTCTGCCCACATTCAATGACATGGTCATGGGTTCTTTTCTGTGCCTCAGTGGGTGGATATACTCTGGCATATCCTCTTCCTTTTGGCACTGTTTTCCCTTCATTTAAGCAATGTCCACATCCATATGCACCATTGAATTGATGTATACCTTGAAGCATACATCGGGCTACTGCGTCACATGAGCATACGATAGGGAAAACTTTAGACACCACAGTTTTTTTTGTATGTGGGTGCTTCCATTCCAGACCTTGTGAATTGATTTTTAGAATGTCATCCACAAATTGCTTAAGGTAGGTGGACATGTCAGGTTTACCACGCCCAAACCAGACACCTGCGAGTATCATGTTTTTGAAACGAACATTTGGTTGGAGTTCATTTATCACACATCTGATGGGCCACAATGAGAAAGGTGAAGATTTAAACATTGGAATGCCATCACAGTTCCATAGTAGTGATATGTCATTAGCTGTGAAATTGGGGAGTGTTTGATACATTTCACCCTTTCTTACATCATTTGTTCCATATACTTCTGATTGAAATGCACAATCATCTTTTTGTAGGATGTCTCTTAGCTGGTCCTCGATAGAGAGACTTATATAAAAATTGCCTTCTGCAATATTCTTTTTTGGGTCATTTATCTCATTACACTCTGGACAATGCATGTTGTTCTTTGAAAGATATGTTTGGCAAATGTTGCAGAAAAGGTGAACATTTAGAGACTCAGATGGATCATGGAATATTTTTCGGAAGAGGTGGAGAGACTCTGGCAATATGTTGCTACTCGGTAGAAAGACATTTAAGAGCTTTAATAGGTCTTCCACAGCACTTGCTGTTAAACTGTGCCTCAGAGAGAAGGACAAAATTAGAACTATTGCCTGTGCAATTGTTATCTCTGATCCTGTGTAAAGAGGGGCCCCAGATTTTTCAAATTGTGAATTTGAATCAGAATTTGTGACAGCAGTGTCATCCATAGTAGAGTCAAAATCTCCCTGAGTGTCACTCCACTCATCTTCACCATGGTCCATTTCATCAACAGAATCATAAAATTCCTCCTCGTCTTCCTCACTGTTTGCAGGGGATTCATTCTGATGGGTATCATCCCAATTGTAATGAGGAGTGTTGTTTGCCCGCCATCGACTTGTCTTTGGAAGGGGGCAACTCGATTCTGGATCCAAAAATCTAGTAATATGATCAAAGACTATTTTAACATGTGACAGTGCTTTCAAGTAATAAAATGTTAACATAATTTTATTTAACCCTCTGGTACTTTTCAGTCATTTTCGTGTTTTGAAGTTGTTCCATTTTTTACTTAATCAAAATGGTACAAAGCTTTGTGATTTTGTAGCACTTGCTGCAGTAAAATACACAAATAATTATATAAATAACAGTGAACATTGTATTAGATGTACAATGTTTACAAAAAATAATTTGCATTTTTAATATTTAAAATGTACTAATTAATTATTTCAAATGTATTGAATTATCTATACTCAGATTCAAGTTGTAAAAATAGGGTACCTTTTGTAAGGGCCTCGTTGTTTTGCATTCATTTCAATGTAGGGATATCTTCTTGTTTAGAGGAATCATTTGTGGTCACTGTTGTGGAAATATTAAATATGTATAACGTACTGCATATGTAAATAATAATAATAATAATAATAATACAAAATCTTGGCGTTAGAAAGTCAACATAATAAAAACTGAACGGAAAATAATTTGTATATTCATACAAAGAACACCGCCCACAACTCACATCGTAGGCATGAACATTCAATTGCGCATGCGCATCCTTGCTCACTGCAGCGCAACGGTCAGAGGAGACGATCATACAACTTTCTTGAAGACGACGAACTGTGACAAACAATTGTAAGTAACATATTTAAACGTTTCTTTATATTAACATTTGACACAATCTAGAAATATTTATGTGTAAACCTGCGTAAAATGTTTTTTTTTTCGTAACATTTTAAGACTGGTCAGTATACGTTATAACGTTAGTCATCTGGCTGCTTTTTGATAACAGTTATATAATTAACGTTAGATCATGTTTAACGGTCTTACCGTTACATTTATCAACTACTTACACCATAAGTAGAAACCTTTAAGTAGAAATACACCATTATTAGAAACTTAAGTCATTTCTTAAACGTTATTTTTGTAGTTAACATCACAATGGACTTTATCATCAGTGGCTGTCGGTTATGTCTCGGACATTAACGTTACGTTTCTGTTGCTGGTTGCTTAGTAACAGTTTTAAACATCATTTTAGAGGGAAATTACCCTTATCTGTTCTAAATCCACTGTAAACCTTGCAATATACACGAGAAACAACTTGTGTTCTTTGATCTTGAGCATATCTCTCCTAAAAGAAAGCAAGCATCAGGTTGTCAATGTACGAGACTCATACAGGCACGCAACTACAGTAACACGGCTAGATCCACCGGCTGGTGCGAAGCTATGTCTGAATTGAGGTCCAGATCGAACAAAACCTTAACAAGAGATTAATACACCTATAAAACATTGAATGTCTTTTACATTAAACATCAAAGCATATAATATTTGTATAAACACTCTTTGTTTTGCCCACACATCAAAAGCATTATAATTGACAGAATATTGTCTATTTTTTTTATCCTATTAAGAAAATGAGGTTTATGTTAATCCAATGGATTGAAGATCCCCCAACATGGGATGTGCTTCCAACTGAAAAAATTATTAATGGACAGTGTGAAATTGGTGGTGTATGTGATGTACAGTACAAAGAAGAATCCAGCCCTGCAAAAATTCTAAACGTTGGTAAGTATGTTTTTGTAATATGTCTGTGCATTACTGTGATACAATTGATGCATGTTGTGATAATAATTAATTATCATTTCAGGAACTAGATCTGCCATGCTTAAGCAGCTTCATTCTATTGAGAAAAATCAGTCCATCAAAAGATCCAGACCTGAAGGGAATGAAGAATTAGGGAGAGGGCAGCGCCAGAAGTATAGCAGAATACTTTCTGAATCAGAAAGCAGTGAAGAATATGAGGTAAATTAGGATGATGCAGTTTGTGGTAACCCTAACCCCATTTTGTCTAATATCTAACACGATATTAACTCCTTGTTTATTAAATATCAAAATCGAGTGCTGGCAGTAGATCCATTTCATATTTAGCACTAAAACTCTGGAACAGTCTTCCTAATATTTTCCGGGAAGCAGACACACGCTGTCAGTTCAAAGCTAGACTAAAAACACATCTCTTTGACCTAGCATACACATAACACACTATAGACTTCTATAATTCAATGTTAGGCTGCATAGATTAGGTCAGCCGGAACCGGGAACACTTCCCTTAAATCCTGATGTACTCGTTACATCATAAGAAAAATGGCGTCCGAATGACAAGCACATGACAATATATAATGTCGAAACCTGATAAGCTATTGTTGCTTAGACCCATATGATTGCCACTTTCAGCTAATTTGAAGGTTATATTTGTAATTGTACAATTCTCTTTTATTTACAGTCGGTCAGTAAACAAGTTTCTGAAAAGAGCGTCAAAAGGATAAGAGCCGCCAGATCCTTTCTGCAGCAGTATAATCTTGAAAAAGTAAGATTATTTCAACGAAGTTACATATATCAGGGCTCTAGTCTAGACTCATTCTTCCCACTGCTTTATTTTTCCAGCAACAGTAGATGTATTTAACAGTAGCATACAAGAAAGAAATTAAATGAACAAATATAAAAAATAAAACACTACATAGTAGACTTCACTGTAAATTATACATTGATTCTTATTAAATCTACTATTAAAGTTCTCACAAGACTCTTATTTTCACAGCACCCGTTCACTGCAGATGATCCATTGGTGAGTAAATGATGTAATGCTAAATTTCTCCAAATCTGTTACAAATTATGAAACAAACTCATCTACATCTTGGATGGTTTGATGTTGAATACATTTTCAGCAAGTTTTAATTACATACAAACTGCACTAACAAATGTTTTACAATTCTAGGAATCAAGCAGGGAGGGAACGACATCAGCAAGGACAAGGAATGACAGTGGAGTCAATCAGCAAATTTTGGCTGAATTAAAAGAGATTAAGAGTGTTCTTGTGGAAACTCTAACACTTTTAAAAAATGGTAACCCTATGAAAAGTTTTTAATTTTTTTAAGTGATTGCTTCAAAAGATATTAAAACCTATTTTGTTCTAGGATGCACTCCATTAATGACTGCACCAGCACACAATCTCCCTGGATGCACTTCGGATTTGCCAGCCCCAGAGTCTTCCCCTGTGGTACCTGCCCCTTCCTCTCTACTGCCTCTTCATGTAAAGGAGACTAGGAGTAATAATGACTGCAAAAAGGTATTGTTTTTAAGTAACATTCAAAATGCTTTCTTACTAGGGCTGCATGATTTGGTCAAAAATGTATATTATGATTCAGTGTTTCCCACAGGAGTTTATATATTAAAAGTCAGAATTGTTAGATTATGTTCGGTTCATATTTTCAGCCTTTTTTCTCTTTCATACAAAAACCAAAAATGCCATTTTACATGAGAGATGATACAGATTATGGTATGCAAGATGGACAGAATTGTCAGATTTTTAAGGAACAAAAGTAAACAACATAATGCTGACAACTACATCCAATGTTTGTTATTATTTTATTTTTTTTGTTCTAGAGATAAATGCAAATTAGTGCATACTTAAACATAACATTTCAGAAAACTTGTATTACAAAAATGTTTGCAAGTAATGTAATCAATCATTTGGAGAAGTATGTCAATAGAGGGTATGCGTGTGACGTCACCGTCGGCTGGATTGATAGAGCCCTATGCAATCCGTTTTATTTTTTCCCAAATTCCGTTTTATTTTTTCCCAAATTCCGTTTTTTTTTTTTTTTTTTTTTTTTTTTTTAGTTGTAAAAAGTGTGCTTTTAAAGTTAATGATTAAAAAATGTACACAAATAAAATAGGAATGACCTTAAATTTATTGAGGTAACAGACATTTACTCAGTACTTTTCAGCACAAATACTGCATGATGCAACATAACACTGCACTCTTCAAGTAACAACAAAATATGGTTATGAGCTTTAAACTGTCCAGTAAAATAAATTATATTAGTTTATATAAGTGTAAATAAAAGTCACACTGTCTCTCTCTCGCCCACTGTTGCGTGCTCTCGGACACACTCGGTCTCTCTCGCGGAGTATCGCTCGCGGTGTTCGCTTCGCTTTTGTCCAGTCCGGCGCCTCATAGACAGACGCGGTGTGTGTGTGTGTGTGAGAGAGAGAGAGAGAGAGAGAGAGAGAGAGAGACGCGTGAGTAGGGGTGTCACGATTCTCCAAATCCTCGTTTTGATTACATTTTTGATTCTAAGGTCACGGTTCGATTCGATTCTCGATTTTTACATTTATTTTTTTTAAAGCCGAAACCGGCCAATCAGGATGCTCTCTGTCTTACATGCGCTTCATGAGGCACATACGCAAGGTCTCTCGCTCTCTCCATCTCTGCCGTGCGCGCTATAGGGTTTGCACAGTCTCTTCTGTCTCGCATGCGCGCTCTTGCTCGCTCACTCTAGATTCCGGGAGATTTTAACTAATTTGCGGGCATCAGGGAGCCGCTATCAATATGCGGGAGACTCCCGTAACTTCCGCGAGACTTGGGATGTCTGCAAACTGGGGTTTTTTTGAAGCGCGAACGTTGTCAACATAACTCACTGGAAATCCCAAAAACTTCCACACCTGCGACTTCAATGAAAGAGGAGGGGGTTCAAGTTCTGTCGATGGGTCTCCTGCATCTGCAGTTGCCATGCTATCTTTTGAATGGCTGTAGCTAAGTTAGAGGAGGTTGACCATAGACTCGCAGCACTTCAACACATCTTGGATGATTCTTAATCTACACTCATAGGTTTCATCATAACAAACAAAATATTATTAAGTTCACTTTAACTCTGTTACTGTTTCATTGTTCGATCACTGTTTTCAGGTTAGAATTGGCCCCAACACATCCATCGGTGCCGAACAGTTTGGCCACATGAAATGGACAGATGCAAAAAAAGCAACAAAAGACCTCCTGGTGGCTGTCTTTGGAAGAGCAACACTGGCAACACACTGCTACACAGGAAAAAGTTCCAATGCCTTCAAAGACAAAGAAGCAAAGCCACAACTGGAGGCTCAAAAAGTGTCTGACATAATTGGTGAGTTTATTTTCCTGAAAATCAAGTTTTGGCAGGTTTTTATTATTATATATATATAACAACAGGATATAATTATACTCAGGAATTTGGAAAAGTATCTACTTTTTTACTTTTTTTAATATACTTTAGAGCAACAGGGCTCAACAGTGCGAGCATTTCACTCGCATTTGCGACTAAAAATAGATGTGTGCGAACTGTATTTTTTTTTTTTTTCAAGCAAGTCGTTTAATACAAATTGTGTGAACAAATAAAGCTGCAGTGGCTGTTACTGACTATTTAAATCTAACAGTTTGGTGTCCCGTGTTGTAAATCCTCTGACCAATCAGTGATCTGTAGTGTTTTCACGTCACATTTTAGTATCCGTACGGTACACTTGGAACCTCAGCAGAGGTGGTATGCTACCATTAAAAGCTTGCCGGACCGAATTTATCATACCGGATGTGTCATAAAAACATTTAACAGTCACTTAGTGGCGAAACAATGTAATCGATAAATGCGTTGTTTTAAGCACCAAGTTTCTATCAAAAGCTGATTTTGATTGCTATCGTAGACATCAGTGTTCATATTTGAACTTTAAACTTTTATCCCAGTAATTCTATGATCATTTGAACTATTGCATCACAGAAATAATGATACTATGATGTTGAAAAGAGTGTTTGTGAAAAGCTGTTTCATGACGACTCTCTCCAGGTCAGCGCCAACACAGTTTTGAATGTTGCGATATGATTTTGACAAAGTAATAGACAGACGAATTGAAAGATCACGTGGGTGTTTGAATCGAGATCACAGCCTTTTAAAGATGAATCGTGCATTTGGGATATTATGTCACTCAACACTCAGATAACGACACATTTCATCCTCTGTTGCAACGAAAGTGGCTAACTTATTTTAACCTTATCTACAAGCAAGGACAAAAATAAAGCAATTGAATTTGAATTAATATCGATTCTGGAATAAAAAAATCGATTTTAGAATCGATAAAAAAACTGCGATAGCTAGGTGAATCGATTTTTTTCTCTCAGCCCTAATCCCTAGTATGTAATAGTGAAGAAGAATATAGGCACAGGCTTCCCTTGAGGAGTTCTATTGTCAACATAGATGCCCAATACCATTACTCAATAATCATTATGGTTTGTAAACTTATGTTCTGTTTGTTTCTTTCCTTACAGGCTACATCAAAAATAAATTTAATATTGAAGCAAGTATAATTAAGAAGGCCATCTCCCAGAAATGCGCAGATGAATGCAAGATGTCAAAAAGGCGCCACAATGATTGTGTGTGAGTTTGTTTGAATCAAACTGATTTGTTCAGGATGTTTAATGTTGTATTTCACAGTTGGTGTGTGTGTGTGTGTTTGTGTGAGTGTGTGTGCGCGTGTGAGTTCGTGGGAATCAGACAGATTTGCTCAGGATATGTTTAATGCTGTATTTCAGTTATTGTTGTGTGTGTGTGTGTGTGTGTGTGTGTGTGTGTGTGTGTGTGTGTGTGTGTGTGTGTGTGTGTGTGTGTGTGTGTGTGTGTGTGTGTTGAGTGTGTGTGTGTGTAAGTCTGTAGCGAATATAATCTGTAAAAAAGTAATAAATTCATAGTTATGAAAGTAGAAATAAATAAATAAAATACTTATGAAATTAAAATAACAGAAAATGCATTTATTGTTTTGTTTTTTTATTTGTATCAATCCATTATCAGTGTGTGCACTAATACTGTGTGCCCAAATGTCACCTGCCATGTTGTTTATAATGTGACTGCAGGTTGCACAACATACATTAAACAGTGAACAATGTCTACATTGAGGTGAGTTTAAGCAAACTGCAAGACAAAATCAAAAAACTACTATTAGTAAAAAGAAAAACATTGGAAAAGTGCAGCTATAGGATTCTTAAAAATGCTCGAAAATAAAAAGGAAACTCCTTACCTGAGTAGTGACCCAATTAGATCCCATTAAAATACTGTAGAAAATCCTACAGGAGGTTTATGCATTGTCCTAAAAGACCATTTCTATCGGAATCCTATAGAATATTTATGTATAGTCCTATAAGACAATTTCTATCGGAATCCTATAGGATATTTATGTATAGTCCTATAAGACCATTTCTATCGGAAATCCTATAGGAATGGTTCCAAAATATGATAGAAATTCTAATTAGAATCCTGTACAATTTTCTTATTGGAATCCTTTAGGATTTTTTGACAAGGGAACTACGCTTTTAACAACATATTGCATTAAAATAAAGTAACGAGAGGAACGTCGCCCAACGTAACGAAGTAAAAGTACCGTTTTTTGATTAGAAATGTACTCGAGTTAAAGTAAAAGTACCCACAATTAAATCTACTCTTAAAAGTAAAAAATTTCCAAAAAAATACTCAAGTAAATGTAACGAAGTAAATGTACTTCGTTACTACCCACCTCTGAACTGGGTTTATATTGTTCTGTTAAATGCTTTAACAGTAACACCACAGCAAATGGTATAGGCCTAATACTAAACCAATTTTATGCAGCATATTAGCATGTAAGTTAAACAACTGTAGAAAATTAATACAAGTACGTTGTAGGCTAATGTTAATATAAGACTTTTAGTGCAGATTATCCATATTACAGAAATCGGAAAATTAAGCCTACAGGCTTACGTACCTTTATCTTCTTGCTTCTTCTCTTCTTCCAGGCTCTTTTTTGTCGTTTTTCTTGGCCAGAAAGATATTTTCGTTTCTTGTCAGACATCGTCGAGTCGCTAACTGACTGACCAAGTGACAACGGATACTGGCATGAAGTTGGTTTGACGTTGGACGTTCGATATTCGCGTATTTAGGGACCGTCTCTAAAGTTACATGCGACACTGGTATAAACGTTTTGTAACTTCAATAGCGTTCGAAGACAATGACTTACAGTCATAAAACCTACTGTACATTGTTCACCCAGGTCTCAGGTATGATGCACACCTTTTAGATTTTTGATATGACAATAAACTGTTAAATCATATGCAAATACTGATATGTATTTCACTACTGTATCGGATCATATACAAAATATGCCAATATTTAAAGCTCAATAGCGTTTGAAGACAATGACTTACAGTCATAAAACCTACTGTACATTGTTCACCCAGGTCTCAGGTATGATGCACGCCTTTTAGATTTTTGATATGTATGACAATAAACTGTTAAATCATATGCAAATACTGATATGCATTTCACTACTGTATGGGATCATATACAAAATATGCCAATATTTAAAGCTCAATAGCGTTTGAAGACAATGACTTACAGTCATAAAACCTACTGTACATTGTTCACCCAGGTCTCGGGTATGATGCACGCCTTTTAGATTTTTGATATGTATGACAATAAACTGTTAAATCATATGCAAATACTGATATGCATTTCACTACTGTATGGGATCATATACAAAATATGCCAATATTTAAAGCTCAATAGCGTTTGAAGACAATGACTTACAGTCATAAAACCTACTGTACATTGTTCACCCAGGTCTCAGGTATGATGCACGCCTTTTAGATTAGATTATAGATCTATATAGATTTAGAGGTGTGCATCATACCTGAGACCTGGGTGAACAATGTACAGTAGGTTTTATGACTGTAAGTTATTGTCTTCAAACGCTATTGAGCTTTAAATATTGGCATATTTTGTATATGATCCCATACAGTAGTGAAATGCATATCAGTATTTGCATATGATTTAACAGTTTATTGTCATACATATCAAAAATCTAAAAGGTGTGCATCATACCTGAGACCTGGGTGAACAATGTACAGTAGGTTTTATGACTGTAAGTTATTGTCTTCAAACGCTATTGAGCTTTAAATATTGGCATATTTTGTATATGATCCGATACAGTAGTGAAATACATATCAGTATTTGCATATGATTTAACAGTTTATTGTCATATCAAAAATCTAAAAGGTGTGCATCATACCTGAGACCTGGGTGAACAATGTACAGTAGGTTTTATGACTGTAAGTCATTGTCTTCGAACGCTATTGAAGTTACAAAACGTTTATACCAGTGTCGCATGTAACTTTAGAGACGGTCCCTAAATACGCGAATATCGAACGTCCAACGTCAAACCAACTTCATGCCAGTACAACGAGTGACATCATAGGGGCAGTCGGGATCAAGACGCGCGCGCGCCTTCGCGGGGAGCTCCCGGTTGATTTGCCATAATACAGAACTAAATAAATAACAACTCTGTGCTTATCATGATGCCTGATAAAGTGCGCTGTAGGTCCATTTCTTTTTATTTATTTATTTTATGTTACTTTTGTTGTGTGATTTTTTCCCCCCACTAGCTAGCAGTGACTCTAGGGGGCCCTCTGCTGGCCACGGGCCCTTTGCAATTGCAACGGTCGCTTAGTGGCTCGGCCGGCTCTGGATTCACATATAGCGCGACTGAAGGCACAGAAGAAGCTGATGCGCTTGTGTTTTTGGGGTGCTTTATAGTTTCCTGGTCGATGACGTCACCCGCCTATGACGTTCCGTCTCTCCATTGGGCTGATTCCATACGTGCTTCATGACGCACAACGCAGGGGCGTTCCCACAGCGTTTGACGCAGCTTGAAGTTCCCTTGAAAGGGAACCAATGGCAGCTGACTTAGAAAATAAAATTCCCACTAATTCTCAGACATTCTGATAGCACTGCTCTCTTAGTCTGAACTCTTGCCCCATTTATTTTTAAATAACCTATTCTTATGAGCTCCGGCATATAGAGGAAGAACAGTAAGAGAACGAATAATTCAGCTGTCAGCAATCTTACAAATATGTGATTGCTCTGCACATTTTCTAACAACAGCAACTGATATCTCAGATTATTTCAGTCTGAATCAGTTGTCGTGACTCGTGCATCAGACTTGTGATCAGTTTCTTTATTGGAACAATCTCCATCCCAACAAAACTACTAAATAAAATCATTCTCGTTAAAGTAAATAAGTCTAATAAAAGTATCAATCATTCTTGATTTTAAAAAAAAATAGAGAGAGAGAGATGCATCGGTCAACCAGCCATCAATCAAAACCATTTTTTTATTTATTTTTTATTTAGGTAAATCTCTGTTCTGGATTTGCACACAAACTGCATTGCAATAATTAGCTGTTTTTTTTTTATTAATAATTTGTGTGGAAATACGATGTCTGTTAACAGGATGATAATAAATGAAAGAGATGGGACCTGCTGAATACGTAGCCTAAGCAAAGAGAACACATGCATGCCAGAAGAGAAAATACTGTACCAGGCACAGCAAGTTCAATGGTCACGATACTCGAAATATTATAAATATAAATATTGGGGGGTTATTGAATAACGGGGTTATGCATATTTTTTGTGTACAGCGGTAACCAAGGAAACGCTATATCGCTGGTGTTTCATAAGTGCCACCTATTGTCAGACAGTTTCATTCACTGTCTTTTTTTTTTTTGTGCAAGTATTTTATGTAGCATAATTTCACAAAGCTAAATTCAAACCATTTTGTTTTTGCTGTAAATCGTTAAATTATACAATCTTATTTAAATAAGATTAATAATAATTTAAATAAAATTTTAAAAACAAATGTTCATGTGTGTTACATCTTTGTTTGGATCATGATTAAAATGCAGTAGTTCCCTCTAAACCGATATTTTTTAAGTCAGTTTGGCCTTTAATATGAACAAATGAACAACAAATGAACAACTGCAATTACAAATCATGATCGTTGCATCCCTATTTTTTAATAAATAAAAAAGTTTCACGTTTAAAACCTGTCAGTCAAGCAAGAACTCAAACCCCATAAATCTGAAATCCTGCCCAGGCTGTATTTTCACAGCCATTGTTTCCCAATGGCCAAGAGCACATCATGGTAACAAATGCAATATTCAAAAAATTTGAGGAGTCAGGAAAAAATATGAAATTAATAGGTATAATCAAACAGTAGAAACAAACTTTCCTGCCTCCAACTTCTCCAGAGAGAGAGAGAGAGAGAGAGAGAGAGAGAGAGAGAGAGAGAGAGAGAGAGAGAGAGAGAGAGAGAGAGAGAGAGAGAGAGTGCAATATAGACAAAGCACCATGCTTATCACCACCAACAGCCTCTCTCAGTATGTGCAATAGCGATTTGCTGAAAGCCTCTGTATATGCATGCATACAGTATCTAGCAATGAAGTTCCACTCTTAGCCGTCTTTTTCTGAGTCTGCGGGAATGAAAGAGAGAAAGAGAGTGAGCGTGTGACCTTGCATACCAATCAAAGCCGTTTGAATTCAAACATTACATGCATTTTTAAATTGCTCTTGTATGGGTATGTCTGAATTTGTCTGTCTGGGAGCATTACTGTCCATTCAATGAAACCTGCAGTTTAAAAACAACTAATAATGCAT